CTGTGTTTCTAGGCTTGTAATGCCTTCTGGTTTGAAGCACAGTATCAGCCTCAAGAGCCAGTATTAAACACATTATTATTTGTGGTACTTTTTGCTCGACATTTGGCCCTCCCCCCCCTTAATGCGCTGTTTCCCATGAGTTGATGTTAGTATGACTGTAGTACAGTTACCCAGGGAGCTTGTGTTCCACTGCCTCTCTGTATGTCATAATCAGTGTTTAGAGCTCCACTTGAGGACTGATCTTGGAAGGCTTGCACCATTCCAAAGTCTAAATGACCAACAAAGTAGATAATCAGTAAATCATTTTTAAGATTTTTGATATGCTGATGGACTGGAAGAAGGAATACATCAGTTAAGATTAAATAAGGAAAATCAATGATAATTCAGTTATTTTTTTTAGAACAAATAGATCTGGGATAATTACTTTTTTCTTTCATTATTTTCTCTTTTTTTGAGACAATCTTTAAATTTTCATTTTCACTGATGCACTCTGAGATGAATTTGTGTTTTACCATCTCTTGATTTGAATAACAGTTTTGTAAAAATGTAACTAAAAATAGAAAGGATACTTTTTTATGTGAAAGCTTCCAAGACTGGGTCTTCAGTTTCATGTCACAGCACACAAATGTTAATTTCAAAACTAAATCCTGTTGTTCTGGGGTGGAGCACTACCCTGAAACATGACTCTGATTCCACTTAAACAATGATTTTGTAGAGTTGTTCCTATGGTACTGGGAAAGCAGTATTAGTTCTTGATCAGAGGGTAATGTAGGCCAGACATGGATGATGCCAACACTTATACCAGAATTTGGGAAAGTGTGGTAAGCTTTGATATAGGTAGATAATGCTTCCTGAAATAGTGAAGAAAGTTTAAAAAGCTTGAGGAGGAGTTAAAATCTCTTTGTGTGCAGGTAGTTAATTATTGTAGGTTGGCTATCTATTGAGAGAGGCAGAGTGTTGCCTCATAATTGTAGTAGATAAGAGTACAGGGCAGCAGAATGTGCTGTAGGAGGAAGCAGTTTGACTCCTTACCCTCCTGCAAGTAGCTACAAGTTGGTGGTCTGAGGAAGACTGCTACATCTTGCAGTAGTAAGTCGATTAGGACAGTGAGTAGCACAGTAGCAACAGCGACAGGTTGCCACATACCCTTCGACCCTTGGATGTCGTGGGTTGGGGTACCCAGTGAAGTACGGCATCGATGGTAAGTATGTTGCCAAGAGAAGAGAGTCCCTTCCCAATTTGCATGCTACAGTCACGCTTTTGCATACTGCATGAGGTCCAGACACCCTGCGCATGTTCATGAATCCCTAACACCCATAATAAAGGCATGTGCCTTACACCTTTGTTTTGTATAATCAAGTTATTTGTGGAATGATTTATGTACAAAAATTTTTGAAAATTTAATGACATACCTTATTTGTTTAACCTTCGTCTAACAGATTTAGATTTATCTTGTGAAATCTATTATTTTTTCTATAATCTTATAGCCTAATGCAACATATATATGTATATGATTGCATAAACCATCATTCCTGTATATAATAATGATTTTTTAGTTACATGATACATAGTGAAGTTAGATGTGAAATATGCTCCTATATATCACATAAGGATTTGTTATGATTTATCCCTGAATTCATTAAATTTGAGACACAACACAAATTATAATTAAAAGTTAGAATTCAAGAAGCTAAACTTGTGATATTTTGCAATATACAAAGAGATAAATTCCACAGATCTCCACCACTTGTCCCTGCTAAGTGTCAACTTGTGATATTTTGCAATATACAAAGAGATAAATTCCACAGATCTCCACCACTTGTCCCTGCTAATGTCAAGAAAATATATTGGGAGGCATGCATTTGTGTCAACAGTTGTAAAAGTTTACCTTTGTTTTATCATTTCTAAGTTATCTGAAGATGTCAGTTTATGTGAATCAGGGTATTACTATGGGACTTATATATGGTAATTCTTGGGCTTGTCAGATATTGAGTTAAAGATTTAATTGCCATCAAGATTTAGAATTTTATAGTCTCTAGAAAATATTTCATATCATAGAAGTTAAAACCTTTACTGTAGAGCAGATTCATTTTATGTACACCCCTGATGAAATCACTTTATATTTGTGCTTTTCATATTTTCCAATTATCTGATATAAATTTTTACTTAGGTTACTATAAGTTAAATCAGAAAATTATTGTAACAGAAAGCACTCATACATTTAATCTGAGAGGTTGACATCAATGCCAAATGCAACTTGAACTTCCAATCACATAGGCACTGCATGATTGACCTTGGCAAAACAAATGTGGAATTAATATGACTGTGGTTTTATAACAGAGAACAGAAATGTTAATACAAGCAATGCATGCAACAGGTACATGAAGCTGATGCCTGCCTTGTGCTCGCTAATAAGTACTGCCAAGACCCTGACGCAGAGGATGCTGCCAACATTATGCGGGTCATCTCCATCAAGAACTACTCTGATGACATCAGAGTCATTATCCAGCTTATGCAGTATCACAACAAGGTACTGTCATCCATGTTCTGTCTGTAGATTTAGCAAAATGATGATAAGAATGATAATAGTCTTTCAGAATATTTTAATCAGCAACAAGAAGTAGGAGATTCAAGTATTGCAAATTTCTATATGGTGGTGTTAATTTAGGATGATAATTTTCTGGAATTAGGATTGATATAGGTATTTCTTCGCACAGGCATACCTATTGAATATCCCCTCCTGGGACTGGAAGCGTGGTGATGATGTCATTTGCCTGGCTGAGCTCAAATTAGGCTTCATCGCCCAGTCTTGCCTTGCTCCAGGCTTCTCTACAATGATGGCTAACCTGTTTGCCATGAGGTCTTTCAAGACGGTAAGTACATTAGAACCTTATTTACACACACACACACACACACACACACACACACACACACACACACACACACATACACACACACACACACACACACACACACACACACACACACACACACACACACACACACACACACACACACTCACACACACACACACACACACACACACACACACACACACACACACACACACACACACACACAGATATATATATATGAATATATGAATATATATGTGTGGGTGTGTGTATGTATATATAAACACACACACACAGATATATATATATATATGTAAATATATATATGTATGTACATATATATACATATATATACATATATATACATATATATACATATATATACATATATATACATATATATACATATGTATACATATATATATATATATATATATATATATATATATATATATATATACACATATATATATATATATATATATATATATATATATATATATATATATATATATATATATATATATATATATATATATATATATGTATGAACACACACGCACCCACACACACACACACACACACACACACACACACACACACACACACACACACACACACACACACACACACACACACACACACACACACACACACACACACACACACATGTATATGCATATATGTGCATACTGCTGTAAATGTACAATATACTTTATTGAAGTATCTTTTACCCTGTTTGTTTTATTCTAAAGTTGTCATATGTAAGTATTTCTCTTGAGTTGCAGGATATCTGGATTAATGTTATAAATAATGACTGTGATTTTTTTTTTTTTTTTTTTTACATTATTTACATTTTTGTGTGTGGGTGATATATCTCTGATTAAATCTGAAATTAAGCACCTAAATGCCTCATATTGATGTAGCTAAGCAAAAAATGATTGTGACCTCAGCATTTTTGAGTGATTAAAAGATTATAATGGCCACATGATAATACCAGTGACACACTTGACACAGAATACTTTCCATACAAAAACAAGAAGTAAGTCTTGTGTTTTTTTTGTGTGAGAACACCTAGCATTTTTTGTAAATGTTAAAGGAACTCTAGATATTCCTTACCATCATTTTAAGCAAAGAAACTTGATTTTACTTGATCTGCATAGACATGGAATTCATATAATCCACCTCTACATGTTTGTTATATATTTCTTTGTTTGTCAAAGATATCTGATTTATTTTTTCATGTAGATCAGTTTGTTTAAGGCAGTGTTTGTTATCATGGTCTTTTTTTGGTGTTTATATTAACTAATTTTTATAAAGAGTATTGTGACCTTTGCATGTGGTTTACATTATTTTTCTTTTATTTATTTTATTTTTTATTTCATTTTTGAACACTATACAGACAGATACATTTTGTTAATCTGAATATTACACTGACTTTTTCAAAATAAAACTTAAACTTTTATTTCTGGAAATACTATTTTTTTTTTTACAGAGTAACCTTTAAAGTGTCTTTAAATAAATTCTAGTCCAAGTCAACTGACACAGAGATATCATTATATTGTTCTTTAATTTTTGCAAAACACACTTTTATTTTTGTGTATCTTTTTCTGTAGATAGTAGCATATGCTTTGTTTTCTTTTTTAATGCATTTTCTAATTTGAAGCTTTTTTTTCCTTTGCTTTTATTCATATTAAGTGGTAGTTACCCTGTGTTGATATTAAGGGCAAGAGAAAAAAAATATCTTTTTACTTATTCGCTTTCTCTTTAATATCTTCATGAAGCAAGATTAAATTCCTTTTAGATCAGATCATGATTTGGGTTTAATTAAATTGTCTTATTGAAACACATATGTTGAATCAAGTGACTTGCTGAACTAGAGTCACTTAGCTGGTTATGATTAAGAGAAGAGTGCGTGTGATTTGGGCAGAAGTGAAAAATTGATATCTAAAAATGATAAAATCTTTCTAAATCTACCTTAATTTTTTTCGATAATATTTACGTCTAGTATTTTTTTAAAGCAAGATCAATAATGGATATCAAAGATAATCAGAGACTGGTAGGAATGTTGATGGGCTTTATGACTCATGAAAGAAATTGAATATCTGTGTAGTATATGCAACTAAAGATCTGTTATTACCTTTT